TTCATTGACTCTTGTTTAAACTTACCCTTTGTATGGCTGTATCTACTACTGCCACACAGAGACCAACAGAAAAAGTGCCGACCAGTGTGCATCACGGTATAGATGAGCGTCTGAATAAAAAAATATTGAAAATACAAGAGACAAATAATTGCGGACAGACTTGGCTTCCATGGCAAAAAGCTACTTTTTAGTATTCCACATATGCCTTTTCCCCATGTGAAGAAATGAGAGAAGTGTGTGTGCAACCACAAGTATCAACAGTAATAAACATTAATAATCATATAAGATGGCGCTATTTTGGGCACATCCTAACAAGAAACTAACAGTGAATCACCAGACAGGCAATGGGGAATATAGGGATTGTGAAATGAATGATGCCCAAGAGAAACCCTGAAGCGAAAGTTGATGACACAAGCCAAAGGTGCTGGACTGGATTCCATCCATATCATATATAACTGAACAGGGAAAGGGAACATACGAGCCCTATGTGACATATAATGCCACAACAGGAAAATGAATGAAATATGATCCCCGCTGGGGTGAGGGGAATAACATACTGTCCCAAAACAAGCTTGTCAAATAGGCTACAAATTAGGGGTATTTCATTTGAAGTCGGAGTGCATCTGCCTAAGAGGCACGGGACCAACAAACTCCATACAAATAAGCCAGTTCTGTAAAACGAATGTGTATGTAAAACTAAATTCTGAAACAAGACTAAAAAGTCTAGAAGTGAATGAACAACCAGAACTTTCCCGTCGGAGTTTACAGCCGGTGAACACAAAAGAAGATATACCACATATGTGTGGCCTTTCTGTGTGTGTACTGAAAATGTCAAGTAGCACCGGAACAAACAAAAATAAAAACATTGGACAAAGATGGATGCTTGTTGTGCAGTTGAGAAAGAATTGGAGAAATTAGTAGAAAAATACGAATCTGTCAATAATAGGGGACAACAGACTTTGGAAGAATTTATAACTGCGATTAGCATCTTTAATAGTGAATTGCTTACAAGTAAGTCCTACAAGAGTTAAGTGTGTGTACAGGTTAGGAATACCGAGTATTTACTTCGTTTTTTAGAAGAAAATACCAGTTTTCGATAGTTGTTATACTAAATAATACTAATACGTCTTACCACAGTCACCTATTTAAAAAAAAAAAAAAAAAACAAGAAATTATGTTGTGGAAGTCCTGTGAATAAACAGAAGAAGGATAGCTACGAATCAGAGAAAATACATAATCTAGCATAATAAAAGACATTACAAATAAAATTGACTGGGGTAATAAAATGACGGCTTTTCTCCGAATAACGGTCCCAAATTATCGAGCCCGAAAATGTACCCTAACAGGGCCTCATTCACATGTAAGATGCGGACTTCCGGCGACTACTGCTACCGCCGAGAGTATAAGTGCTCTGCGACCAGCCGTTCGCGCGTAACTCTGTAGCGTAGCTACAGCAACATTGGCTATCCTCCGAATAAAGGTCGTAAATTATTGAGGCGGAAAATATACCCTAACAGGGCCTCAGTCACATGTCAGTTGAGCACTTCCGTCGTCTTAAAATGCTCGCTTACGGCAACTTCCGCCACCGCCAAATTACTAACTTTCTGCAACTTCCACCACCGCCGAGAGTGTCCCCCACGCCGTGTGAGGGGCTAAACTAGATGGCTAGGACTTACCGTATCTCCTGCATCTGCCTTCATTTTATTTGCTCGTGAGTCCTAGCCATCTAGTTCAGCCCCAATCCACGCGGCGTGGGGGACACTCTTGGAGTTGCCGGAAGTTCGCAGTTCGGCAGTGGCGTTATAGTCCCCGGAAATGCACAATTGACACGTGACTGAGGCCCTGTTAGGGTATATTTTTTGCCTTGATAATTTACGGCCGTTATTCAGAGGATAGCCGCAACGTTCCTCCATTTACCCCAGTGTCAACAATGGTACCCATTTCCTAGAGGCTGAGTGAACCCCGGGAACCGCCTGGTCTCGAACACCGACCGTGGGCTGCAGCGAGTTGCAGCTGGATTTGAAAGCAAGCCTCTTATCGACTGCATTAACGCAGCCCCCTATTGAATTTTAATTGAATTTTGGTTGTATACCTGGTTTTATTACTGTGCTCAGTGTAGACTCCTGCTCCTCCATTGCTTTTTATGCTGAACCATCTGCGTAAATATGAACAAAAGATTCTGCTTGTTGTATTCATCGTCAAGTAGATTAAGGGTGGCTGTTTTACACTGCACACTGCTTTGTTCTTCCTTATCAGATACTCCTTTCACTTCTGTCTGGATGTGTATTGGAAACTTATAATCCAGGGAGTCGGTTCTGTAATAGCATTTAAGGGGCTATCATTTGCAGACAGATCAGTGGTTTGTCTGCAGAGCTGGTCTGGTGGATAAACGTGCTTCTTTTTAGTTGTCCCTTAGCTAAATTTTGGAGTCTTTCATTCACAGGGTGTCTAGGCATGCTAAGAAACTGTTCTGCTTGTATTAGCATCTTGGTTTGTCTGCGTTCACTCAGTGCTTGAGTTATACCCATTTTCTCCATCACAGATACTGTTGTTGATTTTATTCTGCCTGTTGTGACTCTAATTGCTTGATTTTGCACTTTGTCTAACTCTTGTAGTGTGGTTCTTTTATGCTGAACTCCATGCTGTTGATCTGTATTCAAGGTGTGATTGAACACTTTGTTGATAAGCTTTCCTAAGTATTTTCTCACTAGCACCCCACATAGGTCACTTAGTTTTCTCAGGATAGCAGTCTTTCTTCTGGCTTTTGTTGCTGCCTTGATATGTTTTCTGCATGTTAACCTGTCATCAAATGTGACTTTAAGGTACGTCGGCTCCTTATCCTCTCTCAGAGGTACTCCATTTATGGTGCTACATATGCCTATGTTGATGGTGACCCACCATTTATCAGCCCACGCAGCCATTGCATCTGTGGCTTATTGTAGCAGTCTATTGACCACTGTAGCATATTTATGTGTGCACTATAGTACCAAGTCATTAGCATACATTGCAGCTTTAATTCCATGAGGTAGTTCAGACGCTGTCATTTTCCTCCGAAGTCGGAGTACATCTGCCGGAGAGGTGGGGAACGAGTACTGCAAACAAATAAGCCAGTAAAACGGATGTACACGCAAAACTCAGGTCAAGGTAAAAGCCAAAAGTCCATTTTGGACGAACAACCGCGACTTACCGCCGGAATTCACAGCCGGTGAACAAGAAGAAGAAGAAGAAGAAGACGCTGTCATTGATATAAACTAGAAAGAGTGTGGGGGACAGGACACTATCTTGGGGGACACCATGGCACATCAAAACTTTCTTGCTCTTGGGTCCCTCTGTCTGTACTCGGGCTCTTCTGTTATACAAGTATGCTTTCAGCCATATGCACATATTCCCATTCACTTTGTAGTTTCTCAGTTTCTTTATAAGATCTTCTTTCCAGACCTTGTCAAAAGTTGTCATCAGGTCTGTCCATTCTTCAAGCATCAGCTTCTTTTCCTGGAAGGCATCATGACTTTCTTGCGAAAGGTAAGTTATCTGATCTTCTGTGGAATAGCACTGTCTAAAGCCTGCTGGCTGTGGTATGAAGATGTTTTCACTTTCCATGTCAACAGTTGTGTAAAAGGTAGTGATAGGAAATTTATCTATGGCATTCAGATATACTTCTGGTGCATCTCCGTCATTGGGTACCTTCTTTTTGGGAGTTGTATTTGCCTTGTAATCAACAGCTGGTGGTATTCATTTGTAGCTACTTTACACATTCAGATTCATCCTGTGAAGTGCACAGTCTGTTATCTAATGATACGTACACATCTGCACATGTTTTTAAGTTCACATAGTCATTTTGTAGAAATTGTCTTACTCTGTGAAAATTCTATAAAATCCCATTCAAGAAATCAACATAAAAATGAATTCTGGTTCTTGCATTTTATCAGCAATATTATTTGCTTCTTTTCTGGTGTCTTCCTTTTATGATTGATCTTTAGCAAATTTTCTGAGGCTTCTAGAATTTTAAGGAAAGATTTAAAAATTGATGATATTGCCATAGCATGTGCCTCCCATCTTTTATCAGAGATGGATTTTGAGATGCTATCATTTCCAGTACAACCTTCAAGAATATTCTACCATTTGCCTGAGGCTGCAAAAAAGTTTATAAATTAACTACCTCTTGACAACAGCCAGCAGCACTTCAGGCTACTATATTTAGTGAATCATTTGCACAAAGCACATATACAGCAAACTTGTTTGTTTCCAGAAGTGTTTGCTTTATCTCCTTAGATCCCTATGTGGGGCTCTGGGACCCCACTGTGGGGGAAAACAAAAAAAGGCCCACTGCATGCCCAAAAACATGTCATAAGAGTTGACTAATTGAGAGCTTCCTTTGAAATCGGAGTACATCTGCCTGAGAGGCAAGGATCCAACAGTCTGCATGCAAATGCATCATACCTGTGAAACAGATATATACACAACACTCAGGTTCTGGAATAGGACTAGAGTTCAGAAGTGGACGAACAACCAGAACTTTCAGCTGGAGTTGACAGCCAGTATAACGAGACGAAGAAGAAGAAGATCTCCCTATAACACCCAGACATGTTGGCAACTTTGTCATAAAACTGACCCTTACATTTAGAAAAGTTTAGCCTACAGCCTTTGCTCAAGTACTGCAACACTAGATTTGTCATTTCTGTGGTGCCCACTCCCTTTTTGATGCCTTAACCATGTGCTGAGTGTGCCTAAGGGTCAATCAATCCCTAGCTAGAACCCGCAGGGCAAATGAAACAGGGAGACACAATAATACACTGAGAAGTGGAAGTTCTGAGCCTGAGTGAGCAAGTGTGTGCCATGTCTTTCCTGGTAGGGCAGTGTTATTTTTGTGTAAAGTGTGTAAACTGCTTCTCATATGATGTTTGATAATTTGATTGTTACAAAATAATTGAATATTCATTATAGAACATGTTTTTTTTTCTTTTTGACAGAAGGTAATAGTTTGAATTATTTCATTTCAGAGCCTCAGAATGAATTCATTTCTGATGGGGTCAGAGAATCAATAAAAGATTTCATTAATAGAGCAAGGTCTGCTGCCACAAGTGTTAGCTCTGCACACAAGGAACTTCATGGCTCAGTCTCAAAGCTTGGCAAATGCATTGACAAAGTAAGGGCTTAGCAACTACATTGATTTAGATTTCAAATTTACGTTTGGTTTTCTCTTGTTGCTTTAGGAGCCACATTACCATAATATTTAATGAGCTTGCTTGCCAAAATATTGGTCCTAGATTTAATTATCGACAGTAGCAATAATCCTTTGGGCTTACCAGTACAGCTGAAGGATGAAATATGCATTATAAAATAGATAGCATATAATTTCCAGACATTTTTCTGAATCTTCTAGGAAGTAAAGACAGTGTTCAATATAACTGACCACTCCACTTCCGTATGAAATTGGCGAGAAGTTTTTATCCTGCCAGTGTCTGCCATGTGACTATCTTCACCTCATAGTTTAATGCTGTTACTCCAGTAATACTTTTTTAAAAAAAGTGGGGGGGGGGGGGGGGGGGGCCTGTCCACAACTGGAAGTTCCTGAAGAATTTAAAAAAAACCTTTATTTGTCTAAAATTTTTCTTGTTTCTATCTTATTATGTAATGTTATATAAAGGGAGTTTTCAAAAAATATGAAGAGAATGAAGTATTAAATAGAATTTATTTTACGAGGTATTGAAAAAAAAGTATTATCGGGTGACTCATGCAGATTATATCGCTTATGGGAAATTTGACGTCGCAGTCATTGGCTTTTTTTTTAAGCATTACTGGGGCAACAGTGTTAAACTGTGAGATAAAGATAATCCCATGGCAGACACTGGTAAAATAAAAACTTGTTGCCAACTTAGCTTTAAGGCAGCAATTTAGTTAAAATCCTCCTAATTTTCCATGTTTTGCTAATATATTCATATTCAGACCTCCTAAATGTTTGCACAGATGTGAATTCAGCCAGTAGCATAAAATATTCAACTAATTTTCATATCACTGTAGACAAGTGGGAAAAGTGACATTTCCTGGAAATTGGCCCAAACCGGAAGTATAGGTTTTGCAGCTTCCTAGGGCGACAAGGTGGGAAAAAAAATTTAAGACACAAAGTTCTGAAAGATGTGTAAGAACACACAGAAAATGTCTAAAAGTAATAGCACAAGCCGTCCTCAAACAGACTTGTCAAAGAATATTTTTGTTTTCACATAAAGAATATTGGAGGTAATAGTTAGGAAACTATGGAGAAATTGCTCTTTCTGTATAGTCTAGGTGAAATTACAGCTAGCATGATTTGGAAAGACTATGCTAGATTAAAATATCACAGTGAATAATGTAATTTAGCCATATTTCAAGAGTTTTCTTTTTCTCGTCTTCAGGTTGTAAGAATGTTTTAAGAAATAAATATATCACTTAAATAATTGTATTTAATTGCACAATAGGAAAAATTGCTTAAAGTTTTTCAAACCCATTTGCAACTCAAGGGGACATCATTATAATACCCTTTCCATATGTTTCCCATCTTCTCTGAATAAATGAATGTTTAACCGCTCACCATCCTCTTATCTGTTTCAGGACTCAGCCCCAATATATCTTGATGGTATTGTTTCATATCTTCTGCTACCTGGGCTAATTTTGTTGTTTCTGCCATTGTTCTGATGTTCCAAAATCCAATTTTAGTGCTTGTTTTAGAACTAAGCAATGTGTGAGTCATGTTGCTGACTTCTGCAAAGTGGCTTTCACCAGTGACTGTCATTGATGCACTCATTACACCGCACACCGCTTGGTGGTTCTGTTGACCAAAATGGTGCCCTTTTCAGTGAGTTTCTGTGGCTATGAAAAATCTTGTGGTGAGGTAGCTGGTCTCACACACAAGCTCACCTCCTTTTCCGTCTGGGTCTGGCAATGGTGGAGATTTAAATAGTTATCACTTGTTAAAAAAAATTTTTTTTAATCATAACAATAATATACATGATTAAATTATTAACAAAAGATATATTGTTCTTTTTACAGAATTTTACTTCAGATTTCTCTGCTGTTATAACGGAAGGTGCATTTGAAGGAGAGCGGCGGCAGCGCTTGTTAAATGAGGTTATCTGCGAGCACTTTTTAAGGCAGGGCATGCTTGACATCGCAGAGTGCTTGAATGAGGTGAGGTTTCTGTTGTCATTAAGATATAATCATCACCTGAAAGAAACTCGGTCTCGCGCCAGCTTCCCCGCCTCATGTACTTTCACACTCAAGGAGTCACTTAATCTTGTGCCCATCTTCGTGTCTGTCGGCCACTGCCCCTCCTTCCTGGTACTATGCCTATAATTCTTTCCAATCCGTCCTGGCACGTGATATGACCAAAATATTTCAGCTTCAGAGACAGGATGCTGTTTATTGGCCAATCTTCCTTGATGTTCAGATCTTTCAAGATGTCAGTATTTCTCCTCTTCTTTGTCCAAGATATTCTGAGAATTTTTCTATAGCATCTCAGCTCAAAAGCCCCTATTCTTTTTCTTAAGGACTGGGAGATAGTCCACGACTCACATCCGTATGTTGCCACATGGAAGATGCATGCTCCCAAGATTCTAATTTTGATCTCCTTGCTGGTGCTTAACCATAAACTTTTAAGGTTCTTCAATTTTTGCATTGTCGTGGCCATCCTCCTTTTAATTAATTTCTGCCAAACAGTCTCCATTGCTATTTATGAAGATAATAGTAAATGTTATTCATGATCACAATGCTGCTGAGTTGTCTGCTCTTGCCAGCCCAGTGCCATATGATGTAGATGCACAGATCGAAACTGCATAAAAAAGGTTATCTATATATCTTCCAGTAGTGGATATATTAACTGATTAGTAAAAGTTAGTAAAGGACCTCTTTTTATGCCAGTGGCTCATCAGGTATATGATACTAGACTCATTTTCATAGACCAGTCTGATCTTGGTGGTGATGTGGTTCACATCATGGTGACGTCCATAACATGACCTTGGACTTACTTTAGGCTGGGTCAGCCTGAGAGCCAAGGTCAGTTTTGAACAAATCCAACTAGATTTGGATTTCAAAACAAGACCATCTAGCCGAAGGTGAGCATCTAGTACAGTACTGTACCTTTTTTAATTTATTGCAACTTTTTTATTGGAAATGGCACTGTATTGTGTCATAATTCATAGAGACTGTATGCCCCCTGTAATAAAATTGATAAACTCTGATCTGTATCATAAATGCATTAAACAGAACACAAAGTATCCAAATGTAGGCATTTGACAGATAATGGAGATACTGCGTTTTACGGCAAACGACTGATGTTGTTGAAACATACAAATGCAGACAATTCAGATTGCTTAAATAATGAATTTGATAAAGATTAGCCTTTGAAGAAATTAAGTGAAGATAAGACTGGTGTAGACCTTATCTGATAAGACGATGTAATATCGAGAGCAGTGACATCAGTTTCGCTGATATCAGTATGATAAACTCCCTGTGTGGGTTCGGGACACCATTGTAGGGAAAACAAGAGTAGACAATAGACCCACTGTCTCCTCAGCCTTTTGGAGTCGGAGTGTGTCTGCCCAAGTAGCAAGGAACCACCAAATAACTGTACATAGATAAGCCAGTAAAATGGATGTACAACAAAGCTCAGGCACAAAGCCAAAGTCTAAATGGACTAAGAACCAGGACTTTTCGCCGGAGCTTACAGCTGGTGAACAAAGAAGAATGAAAAGTATGATTAACAAATATTCATGTGTGTTTTGGCACTCATAGATGCAGAAGAAAAAATTGGGAACAGGAGTGCAAGACAGCATACAGCTTGAAAGCTATAGTTCCTTAGTGATTTATTTTTTGAGATTAGACTCCAAATGTCTGTAGGTATCCAAATTCTTGTATGTGTGTGAAAGCTGGACACTTACCACAGATATGGAGAAAGACTGTAGGTGTTTTAATAAAAGTGTTATGGGAAACTTGGTTTATTAGGTAATTGCAGTTCCAACTTGGTAACAAATGGTCACACTATTGCTGCTCCATTCCTGTGCCAACGAAAACCCCTCTGCATGTCCATCACAATCATTTGTGGAAAATTTGACACAAACTGCAGTCTCAGCAAATCCATTACCATACACATGCATCAAATGCATAAGGCAGCAGTCAGAAGTGCCACAACAACACTGCAATGTGCTCTGCTAGGAGTTTGATTCAACTCGTCACATTGCTATAATGACGTTCTTAGGTACACACAGTTGCTAAGAATACACCAGACGACGCACTTTCAGTTATTGATCTTTATTCGCTGTTACAACAATCTACTGTCCATGTGCTCCTTGCGTTCTCGTGGTCGCTTCACCTGGTTGATTCTTGATGACCTGGTCAACTATCTCACACGGTGATTCTCTCTGCCATTTCATTTTGAATCATACATCTGTATCGTACATCTGTATCATACTAACGTATTATACCTGGTACTCGTACACTGTAGAAACTTGCAATCAGGAAACATTCATTTCTGTTCTCGAACAAGTACATGTGGTCAGACGTTCTGCATTCTCATCAGTTGTTCTCTTGCATTGGTCCGAACTTCAACTGCCTTCCTACCTTCTCTGGGTTCACATCTTCCGTTCCAGTCCCACTCTTTCCTTGTATCCCTCATTCACTCACCACTGGAAACTCGAGAACTGCTTATCTCGCTTTCCTCTTGTTTCACTGGTCCTCTGACCTCGTCCCCCAATTGGGAACTCTCTGGGATTTCCTCGGGAATTGACAACAAATTCAAACACAGTAAAGGACTCTTTTCCACGCCTTCGGCCATATAGGGCTGGATCTATGTTTTATAGACCAAGTCGCAGTTGTTAGACTATGTGGTCAGCTTCATACAGGCCACTTTACTTCCCAGGACTTTACCTGGTACCCATTTTGGGCTTGGGGGGCAGGTGAATGTGCAAGGTCATTTTTTAAAAGAAAAATAAAGTCTGGCTTTGTCAGGACCTGAACCCACAACTTTCGGATCTGCAGACGATCATCTAGCCGCTACACCATGGCGGTTTCTAGAAGAAACAGACCAGAACTAGAAATGCTGTTCATTATCGATGAAAGTAGGAGTTACAGCAGATCAGGAGTTGCACAAGCAATTAATCACATAAGGCACCACCAGTTCTCTGGCAACAGGCCAGTCGTCATTTTAATTTTTCTGAATCTACATTTCGCAACACATACCATGTTGGGCACAGTCAAAAACCATTCCAGATTAAATCTCCAGCTTACATTATCACATCATCACTCGGCTCAGTAGCTGGGCAATAAAACTATATCCTTTCAGTCTACATAGGGAGAAAAATGCAATAGCCAACTACTGTCAGAAGCAAAAACTTGCACTGACTAAAGACAGTAAAACTGCTTATTCTCTATATTGCCCAGAAGTGTGTCTGTTTTGGGCTACAAATAAATTTATGTGCCTACTTAAGAATCATTCTTGGTGCTAGTGATTTTTCAAAACATTACCATTAAGGAGTACAGGTGACAGATAAACATGAACTTCCAGTGCAGTTTTTCCCCACTGTGAACTTCAGTAGTGAGGACACAAACCGTGTATTGTACAGTTCATTACTTGGCATACTTTACAGTATCTCATAAGTTACACAGTACAGCATTTACATCAACATCAAACTATGAGAAGCAAATGCTTAAATAGAAGAAATGTAGAAAGTCCAAACCTACAAAAATAAAATATACATAAAACGTAGCATTCAAATAGTGTGTCAGTTTTTACTCCATTCCCTCATGCTGGGCACTGTCTAAGTTTTTCATAGTGTACCTACTCAGGCCATTGGTTGTCCTGATGTTTCAACTAGCCTGTCTGCTCTTTCATTACCTATAACTCCTTCATACCCCAGCATGTTTTAACTAGCCTGTCTGCTCTTTCATTACCTTTAACTCCTTCATGCCCCAGCATGTTTTAACTAGCCTGTCTGCTCTTTCATTACCTTTAACTCCTTCATGCCCCAGCATGTTTTAACTAGCCTGTCTGCTCTTTCATTACCTTTAACTCCTTCATGCCCCAGCATGAAGATGCAGATAGGAAGAATACATGTTTGAAGTGTTTGTAGCCCCGAGTTGCCTGCTCCCTTTATTCAAGTGATTAATGTAGAGTAGTCTAAAGGTGAACAAGCAGAAAGGTCTTATCACATAAAGCTCTTACCTAATATGTGTGAGAGTCTTTAACATGTTCTGCTTGTAGAATCAGATTGAGAGGCCTATTTGACATGAAAGTTCGGGGAGTATGTAAACAGCATGATTTATGTAAGAAATTGAAGGAACTGTTTCACCGGTGCTGATAATTATAGACAAGGACTGTTCAAATAGTGACCCACGGGTTAAACCCGGCCCATAGACCATTCCCAGTTGTATTGTATTGATGATCTTTCTAAGCTGAGGTTGAGGCCTCTGGCCCATGACGATCCCTGTTTTCAACATTTTGGCCCTTGCATAAACTTTGTTTAATAGCCCTTGCGCAGATCTTTCAGATAATATGCCACACAGAGTTAATAAACTGAGGCAATTATGCTCAATAGAAGGTTCAAAATTTACTAAAAAATTTTATCTTTCTGAATCATTCCAAAAATATAACAGCCTACTTCTGTTTAAATAATACAGCTGAAATCAGAGATGATAACTGTGCATGTTACATGTTGGAGTACTTTCATTGAAAAAAAGAGCCTACATTGTAGTTTTTAGCAATAGAAATAGGAATGTCAACACAGCTTTTGTATAAAATTCTAATTTTCTACATGAGTTGTCGCTGTGAAATATAGTTTTAAATAATGTCGCTTTGGAAAACAAAGTAATCCAGTGCAATATAAATATAATAATTAAATTACACATACATATTTGGTAACAGAATAAGTGACATTTTACAATTCAGGATGCTCACTTAGAGTTGTCTCATGAGAGGAAAGAACCATTTCTAGAGCTTCACAGAATACTGGAAGCATTGAGACAGCACAATTTGGATCCAGCCTTGGAGTAAGCCTTTGTTATAGTCTTAGTGCTGTGCACTAATATGTACTGTTGTTTATCTCTTTCTTTTGGTGTCAGATTTTACTCTCGCATTGTTTCTGTTTGTTTTAGAAAGTTATGAAACTTCAGGTTTTATTTTAGTCTAGATTAAAATGTTTAAAAAATTTACAATCAAACATGTAAGTGTCTCAAGTGTTATGTAATTAATATAAATATCTTGTCTGTTTTGCTTCTGGCTTAAAAAAATTAAGGTCTGTAATTATAATTAGGGCTGTACCGAAGATTCACTTCAGGGCCGAATAGTGGACCTAATAACTATTCGGTATTCGGCTGAATACTTGCGGTCGGGCTGAATATGAATAGTGGTTACCTTACACCCGTTTCTACATTCACTGCGATAGTTGCTGTTGCCTAAGTCGCTTTTTGCATGCATTAACTAAGCTGTCAGTGACAAATTTACAAGTTTAGTTACTTGTTATAAAACTAAGAATACTTTCATTCCTAGGTATTAGTTACCACAAACTGACTGACTGAAGGATGCAAAACATAACATGTTTTAAAATGTTTTCTATTCTGTACTACGTTTTGTGAAGTAAAATTTCAGCCTAGATTTGACATTATGAAAGTTTTTTTAGATCTATTTTATACACTATACACCATTCGAAAGTGGAAGAATGGGCCTCAGTTTTAATAGTGGGAAGACAGAAGTAATGGTGAAATCAAAGAAAATAATTATTCCTAAATGTGTAATAAAAGTCAGTAGTGTTATTTTGGGACAAGTACACAAATTTAAGTATCTGGGCACATGGATAACATCAGATGGAAGATGCATTACTGAGAAAAGAAACAGAATAGAAGAGGCAAAAACTGCATTTTATAAAATGAAGAACATCTCATGCAATATATCTTTGTCATTGAAGGTTAGAAAAAAAATTCTTGCTTACTGCATACATCCAGTTTTAACATGGCTGTGAGTCCTGGACAATCAGTAGGCAGGCTAAACAATTTCTTGAGGCCTCAGAGATGTGGTTTTACAGAACAATGCTTAAAATACCTTGGACATCCACACAAAAAAAGCAACCAAGAGGTTTTGGAAGAGGCGGGAGCCCAAAGACAACTAATCACAGACATAGAAGGAGACAGTCATCATTTTTCGGCCATGTTATGAGAAGAGGGAAAATAGAACGAGAAGGAAGGAGGGATAGAGGAAGACAACGAGATAAGATTCTTGACAGTCTTGAATGGCATGGAGGTGTGTCAGCACACGAACTAATACATGCTGCAGGAGATCGCAGATTGTGAAGAGGCATAATCACCCATGCCAGTCGGCAAGGCACATGATGATAATGCACTATTCGTATTCGGTCGAATAGTTGGTCCTGCTATTCGTATTCGGCCGAATAGTGAAAATCACTATTCGGTACAGCCCTAATTATAATCATTATTTTCTGATAGACAATGTCTATGCTAAACCTAATTCGAGTAATATTAAGTGTGGAATTTAGAATTTCATGTGTATAATAGAAGCAATCACTAGTTTTAAAACTTTTGATTCAGCTATGGAAACACTACTACATCAACAGCATACTCTCTCTCTCTCTCTCTCCCTACTGTCAGCCGTCATCAAGCATGCAAAATGTCTGCATGGAGATAAAATAAAAGGAGCATCGGAAATAAATATCTTTGATACTAACTAAGAATGAAGCGATTACAACACAATAGTAGTAAATCAGTATCATAGGATAGGGTACCTGCTTGGCATCAAGTCTAAGCTCACTGTGCTGTTGAGGGGTAGCCCACAGATGGGCCTGAGATCAACTCACCTTTTAAAGATTATTAGCAAGGACTATCATCACACCTCTCCAAACAGGTCCATGGGTTCACAAGACCGCAATAAATTGATATTGACAGCCAAGTACTTACATTTTAATAGATGACAGTAGAAAAATACAGATACAGACTGTGTTAGTAATACTACATACTGTTTCTCTCTCTTCCCGCTATCAGCTGTCATCAAGCATGTGGTTCTGCATTATTCCTGTTCATCCTCAAAACATTCTCGTTCAACACATTTTCACTGTACACATCTGAACATTCATACAGGCATGTAATCTTGGCTTTAGATATTTACCTAGGCACCTTAATTGAGCCTTTATCGGGATCCTTACAGCTGTATATACAGGAATGCAGACTAATGCTTACCACCATAATGATGTTTGTGATATGCATCTTGCATTACATGGGAGTCGTCATGGCGTAGTGCTAGACGCTTGTTTGTGGATCAGAAGGTCAAGGCTTTGCTCCCTGGCGGCGGAGCTGGACTTTAAAAAAAAAAAATGGCCTTGATTCCCAGGTCGACCCCGCCTTGAGTGGGTATCGGATGCAGTCCCGGGAAGTCAAGGCTGCCGGCATGATGCTGACCACATTCAATTATCTTGTGCCGATTGGTCTATAAAAAATATAGGTCTAGCCCTATATGCCCTGTACGCCTAAAGATGTGGAAAAATGACCTTTACTTTTTACCTTACTATGTTGCATTACATGAATGTTTGACAGTGAGGCAGAGATCTAGTCTCCAGTCTAATTATTAAATACTTTTTGTTGTTTGTCTATCACGAGTGATAAACACCACTTTCATCTAAAGTGATAATTGGATGAAAGTGACTTGCGCAAGCACTTGGATTTAAGTGAGGAAGAGTTGCGCAATTCGTCAACCTCACTCTCATGCCTGAGTCCATCTTGATCCAGTGGCAGGAAAGTGTTGAGACGATTGGAAATGAACCTAGGTGCAGTGAATGACCACTTGACACACCAGAAACATTTTGTGACTTGGAAACATTCTTATGTTAAAGTAATGTTTCAGACATTCATCATCATCATCAATTTCTACTTCTACGTTAAGCGTCATGGGGAGGAACAGTTTGTGATCCATTGCTTCATGGGCGGCAGTGGTTATGTTTTAGACACTAAAGGATCACATTTGTCTGTATCAAACATACTGGCAGATTGAATGTTTTGTATGCAGAAATAAAAATCAAGGACATACTTGATTGCTGTATATTCCACAGATGGGCTGAGAGAAATAAAGAAGAATTAAACAAAAGAAACTCTCCCCTGGACTTCAAACTTCACAGACTCAGATTTATTGAGCTCATCAGATATGGGGCAGTTAAACAGTCTGAGATTTTGGATTATGCTCGTAAACTGGCACCATTTGCTGAGCTACACACAAAAGGTATTTCTGTGTGTTTGCTCTATTTGTTTGTTATTTTCAATGTTTTGTACCTGAATCATTTCTGTTGAATATGATGGTGTTCTTTCATCTACTAATGTCTGTCTAGACACATTTGTACGTCTCTGGGCACTGGTCTGGTCTGGTAGTCTTAGTTTCAGCTTCATAGCAAATGGGTCACCCCATCTTTGCTCCACTCCTGTGCTAACGAAAAATACACAGAATGTTTATCACAGTATTAGAATTGCAGTTCATCATTGATGGTAGCAGACGTCGCCAACTGATCAGCAGTTGCCCACGCGATCAATTTTAATCACATACGGGTTTCACAACACTGCACGACAGGCATTGCGTCATTTTCTGAATCTACAATTCACACCAACATGATGGTCACAGTCGAAAAAAACATTCCAAATGCAATCCGCAATCTGTGGGCACTATAGTTGTCATCTGTTGTGGAGCTGTGAGTAGAGTAAACCTCTGGAGGTTTAGTTGTTTTTGTCTGTTCCTGCACACAGCTAGGGTACAGTTGAAATGTAGTTTTGACTGCCATTATATGCTGATGAGTGGCACAGCCATGTAGTTATGCTGCTGGGGGTACCTTCTGTCTCATCACATTTGACTACCGTCATTACAAGGGATTTGAGAAGAGTTACTTCCAGTTTATGTTTACCTCATCTTATTCCACTTTTTGTTGAAACTGAAGAGGGAGGGGTAATATGATATCACTGCTGCTGCCCTCTAGTTTCACTAGACCTGTTAACTGGCCTCGGCAGAATGAGAATGTGCTGGTGCTGGTTTTCACTGCTACATGTCTAGTTAGTGTAAGGATAAAAGATTATTTTCTCACATTGGTATCTTGAGACTCTGGCATATACACATTTGAATCTCTAAATGTCAGACATTCACACTTTGGGATCAATGATACTCAGGTATGCAAACTTTGGCTGTCTGCCACTGCTGTTCATTCTCTGAGCGTAAAATATTATAGTATGATCTTCAGAAAGAGATTGTTTCACTAATTGATATTTTACGTTGCAGTGAAAATGGTCATGAAATATGGTAATTAAAGTGATTCCAGAGGCCGGAAATAAAATTGTTAATCTATGTTTAGATAATGATCTAGAACAGTCTTCCACTTTTTTTCATGTTGCGCCCCTTCTTCCTCCTTGAGTCTATGACAAGAACCCACACTACCTTGAGCATTTGGCAAGGACCACCCCCCTTACCCATGCCCCCTTTGATTATATGTGAAGACCTCCATGCCTCCTCCCAAACATAACAAAATATTATTAAAAGGAGGTCAGTAGATTCCACAACAAGAGAAACAGAAGTATGGAGATATGTTTCGGTCAGAATGTGTTTTTTAACCTATAATTAAATGCATGTGTTATCATATTAATTAGATTAGATCTTTAACAGTACAAACTGCTCCTGAAAACAAAAATTTCATTGTTTTGTTTAATAAATAGTTTTTTTTAAACAAATAATTTATTTATAATTAGACTAAAACAAAATCTAGTATAACCAATTATTACAAGTACAAATGCACTCACTTTCAAAATTACTTGAAACTTCCCGCGCCCCCCTCTTTGGAGACCACTGATCTGGAAGGTTCCTTCATTGATACCTTACATGTAATAGTAACTAAAAACTAATTGCACAAAGTGTTCTGTTTTCTCCCTACCAAGTGTGTTTTACAAATATACTGAAAGTCAAATAATATTTATCACCTGATTGTGATAGTTTCACTGACAGCATGATTGTGATAGTTTCACTGACAGGATGATTGTGATTGTTTTCCTGACAGATATGCAGCTGTTGATGGGCTCCCTGTTGTACCTCAAGCAGGGAATAGAAAACTCAACATATTCTTTTCTGTTTGAGGCTTCCAGCTGGGCAGAAATCTGTGATATCTTTACTAGAGATGCTTGCAGTTTGCTAGGCCTGTCAGTGGAGAGCCCCCTCAGTGTTGGGTAGGTTCCATGCACTGTCTTTGTGCGTGTGCATGTGCGTGCGGGGTGGGGAGGGGGTGCTTGCGCGCTTTCACACTCTGTCTGTCTCTCTGTCTGTATGGTCTCTCTCTCTTTCTGTCTGTCTGTCTGTCCTGTCTGTGTGTGTGTGTGTGGTTTTTTTTAAAAACTGTTTATAACAAGTTTAATGAGTTGAAAAATTATCCATTGACTCAAAATGAATGACCTTGGCCTAACGTTTGAGAAATGCCTAGATGTGCTCTGTTTCTTTCAGCAGATACATATAGTGGTGCTGATGGTTCTGCACATATTTTTTTTTTGAATGAATTTTTCAGATCAGTTTTTTTTTCTTCTTAGTGTTCACCGGCTGTAAATTCCAATGGAAAATTCTAGTTGTTTGTCCACTTCTTTCATGCATATAGGTTTCACTTTTCTGACTGTTGATTCCTTGCCTATGAGAAAGGTGCACTTTGAATTTGAAGGGAAAAACCCCTAATTAGTCACCATTTACAACATGCTTAGCTGACAGTTAGCTGATTAATGAAACATTATGTGGAATCTGCAGAGCTATGGTTTTAAAAAGAAGATTGATGTCACTAGCTTAGACACATAAACAGAAAAATAATGTCCAGAGATAAATCAGCTAAAAAAAAATGATCCACATCTGAAGTAGATAGTCCACCTTCCTTGTGAAAATTAGTGTATATTTTGACAATAGGAAAGTTGGAGGGGAAGAGAGGCAAAAGGGAGACCAAGAGAGATGTTAGACTATTGGGCATCATAACATGGAAGAACTATGTAAGAAATGATTGACAGTAAACAAGACAGGTAAAAAAGACTGTTAACAGACATATCATTACCAGTGACACACAACATGACTGTAAGAAGAATTATTGTTAATTGTTGGCTATAATGGAAATATGCAGCATAATTATAAAGATTATCATTATGTTTATTTTGCTGTTAGCAAGAGTAGCACAGCACAGAACACTCACTTGCCCTGGCAATCCAAAAGGTTTCTAAACACCCATCTTGTCTTGGAAATTGACTAATTTATCCTCATCAGATGTCACCGTTTTGTTTGTTGAAAGAGCAGTATGTTAAGACATAGTAACCGGTGAGAGAGGCAGGGGCTGACCAGTATGAAGATGGGCATAAAAGACACCTTGGACAAGATAATGCTTGAGGCCAGACAGCCATCAAGGGACCAGGTTTCTTGCATTCGGGATGTGATGAGACTGACGTTCTCTAAAGGACCTGCTGCTTAGTGATGATGGAAACACTTGCAACTTTGATATAAAGAAACCAAAGGCATTTATAATAATGATAAATAACATTTTCAGTAAAGATTGAAGGAATCATGCATCTTTGTTTCATGGCCAGAAGCAGCACACAGAAATGTACATGTGTAATATTTGTTGTCTGGTAGAATCAATGCAGGGTGCAGAGCTTTGCCACCATTGTTGTCTATCAGACAAGTGATGCAGTCAAGGCAGGTTGCCGGTGTCTGGAGCAGCAAGGAGGAACTACCGGTAAGTCACACAAATGATTCTTATAATCCTGTTGTCAGGAAACTTGTACATAAACATGTATGTGTCTCATGGAATCCTGGCGGTGTAGCGGTTGGTGCTACAGGCCAGTTTCAATCCCCAGCAGAGGCAGGATTATTTGTTCCCATCAGTACAGCTCTGGGCCTTAACCAGACTAGTAACATTGGGTACCAGTCACTTTCAGAATGGTCTAGGAAGGAGAGGCGATGAGGCAGGACACTGGCAGTCCCACCTGGCATGTTGCGGCTTAGAATATATGAAGACCTGACACATCACAGCCCAACTCAGCAGTCACTACTGTTGGACTACTTGTTTTGTAACTCATGCAGCTAATCAAATTTGTTTTAGACTTGATAGTTTTACTTAGCTGGCATTTTCCTGTCTTTCCAGATGATATTGTTATGCAATCACAGCCCATGGTCTCTGCAAGTGTGACTAGCAAGACCTGCTTGCTTGTAGAAAAGTCTTGTTGTCAAGACTACTGTTGGCCTCACATTATTTCATGTGCTTCTTCTCAGAAGCTCAGCTCCTAAACTGTATGCAATAATGTTCTCCGTTATCTTTGTTCTCCTCCTGATTTGCCCCCTCTGTTGTCCATTGCATCATAAGTTGTTTTTACATATAACATTTCACATGATATTTATGCCAGTTGGGCATGACCAAGGAGACTTGAGAAAACAGTAAACTCAGGACATCTGTCTGTTACATGTGGCAGGTACAGGATGACTTGTTCAGAATATCATTGAGCATGGAAATGTTTACTTTGTTGGTTTTATGAAATATTTGTACTTTTCATGTGTAGTTTAGAAACTTTTTTTTTCAAAGTTGTATCTTTGTAAACTATTATAACCTTTCTGACGGTTATAACTTTTCTGATTGTCTGACATTTTATTTCAAATGCCTATTGCATGTTTTCCTTATCACATATTGTATCCAGAACATTGTCTCCACTGCATTTATTTTCAGTGCATCACACTAACTATAGTCTCGTGTACACTGTGATGTCCTTAACCCATTTTTGTATGGCACCCCCTGTCATATTTTCGTTTAGTCATTTCAGAATACAGTATCTTTCAATGTGTAATATTTACTGCTATGTAGTAGGGAATTAGCTTTGATACTTAATTTGTCTTCAAGAATAGTGTGTCTTTATTTTCATCATTTTTCTGCAATGTTTAATTTGGAATATTTACTCCTTTCAATGACATGTTTTGCAAAGAAATACTCAAAAACTTGGTGACTACTTGCTGGTTAGATCTGAAAAAGAATGACTTGGCCATACCTTTTTAGCTGAACAAGAACCCTGCCTTGATCATGCTTGGTATTGTGCCTTTACCATCCACATGGCACATGATGTTGACATACCCTATTTGTTTTAACATTTTGTCACTTTGATTAGGGTATAAATTTTACTAGTTACAAGTATTTTGTATGAAGTAACGTTGAACATTGTTTGAAATTTATAGGTTGAAATCGACCTGGGCCAAGACTACAGGTTTCACTCCATCTTTGCTTGTCCCATTCTACGACAGCAGAGTACAGAGCAGAACCCTCCTATGAGGCTTGTTTGTGGTCATGTTATCTCGAAAGATGCCTTGCATAAACTTGTTGTTGGAAGTAGTAACAGGTAAGTACACAAGTGTGTTAGAAAATGAAAATGGCAGTAGAAGTGAAGTGAATCAAGGCCAGTTTCCCTGAGATTGCTCAAAATTTGCCTGTCCCTGCCCTGAGAAGTGGTAAAGACAGGAAAAATATATTATTTCCTGTCTTGCAAGAGTTTACATTACTTTTCTACAGTACAAAAAGTATTATGGCAAGAATCGCTTCAAAGGTTATGGCTAACATGCCTTCTTTGGAAATTTTCTTTAGGATATGCAGGTGTGTTGGGAAGTAAACAGGCAGACAGATTGGCTGGTTTTAAACCACTTGTAGTGAATTGGTGCATGATATGTCAAGATGTGGTCAGTGCACTCTTAGTGCAAAGGAACAGTGCTGAAGCACTCAGAGGAAAGGCAAGATTGACACACTGCTACTGGCACCAGCAGTACTGGAACTCCATGCTCACTGCTGATGATGGTAAAGATGGAGTGCTCAGATGAATGTCCAGAGTGCTGTGATGTCAGTTGTTAACTGAAGCCAGCACAAGATGTAAAAGTATCAGTGACAAAGCCACTGTTACTAGAATATTTTAACTGATGCACTATTCTTTTTCTTCTGCCTTTCTAACCCCCATTGGAGCTTAGGCCCTCAACCAGCTCATACCAAGTCGTTCTGTCCTTGGCTGCTGCATGCAGCTCTTCCCATATCTTCCCTGTATTTTTATCTTCGCACTGTAGCTCCCTTCTACATGTGTTTTTTTTTGGTCTTCCTTTATTTCTGTGCCCCAGAGACATTCTAGTTGTATGGAGCGGAAACATGGAGAACAACTAAGGCGGTTAATAATAAACTACAAAGATTAATTGACTGGTGCCTGCTGAGAATATAGGAAATTAAACGGTATGATAGAATCACTAATGTAGAGCTTTGGGAGGGAACTAAACAAGTTTTAGTGGACCAAGAGGAGAAGAAAGAGGCTGGTGTTGGAAAGGACACACGCTGAGAAGACCTGAGAACAATATAACTAGAATGTCTAGATGTACTATTGCAAACTCATAATGCAATATTGCAAATCAGTGAGGCTAAATATACAGTACTGCATACATGCAATATTGCTAACTTCTGTTGTTAACATATTAAGAAAAGATGGTCATGGTCAGTTACAAGATTGAATTTAACCATATCAAGCAAAAAAATAAATTGCTCTATTAAGAGATGTAAATACCTCAGTAATTCTTCCCACATAGGCTGGAATAATACGGCTGTGAATCCTGGACAATTAATAAACAAACCGAACTAAATTTTGAGACCTCAGAGATGTGGTTTTACAGAAGAAAACTTAGAATTCCTTGGACAGCTAAGAAGAGCAACCCAGATGTTTGGAAAGAGGCAGGTGCTCAAAGACAACTTATCACCAACATCAGAAAGAGACAGTTATAATTGTTTGGTCATTTTATGGGAAGAGGGACTATAGAAACCACTGGAAAGATTTGTGGAGAGAGAAACAGAGAAAGTTCTTGACAGCCTTTTGTCATGGCATAGGGGGTGTCAAAACACGAACTGATACATGCATTTGCAGATTGCAGATTGTGAAGAATCGTGATCACCTATGCCATTCGGCAAGGCACTTGATGATGATTAAACTGGAATAGAACCAGTAGATAACTTAACAACATGAGTAATAAAAGTAAAGCAATAATATAAATCTGTGACTAAAAACTGGAAAGTTAATAAGTTTTCTAATAACTTGAAAAACATAAATTTGATTTGTAGTTCAGACAGGTTGATCTGGACATAAGGATTGAATTTAACAATAGCTTACTTCGGAACTCTACATTCTCCAAGTGTGTCTTAATCATCTGAGCCTTCAAAAACTGAGCATTGAGGAAACTTTCTTAACATCTACTTTTTTTTCAGTACCTCAGTTTTTGTAGTTTTGTCTTTGCCACTCAGTGCTAAGTATTCTTCGAAAGCATAACATGTGAAACCTCTTAAGCCTTTTTGTCTTGGTATGAGTAAGCTGACTAAGTGTCAGTAACATAAAGAATCATGCTGAAAACAGATGAGTGATCATCAACATGTATCAGGTCTTTTGCAGAATGTCGCTCTCATCACGGCCTGCGAGAAGGAAACTAAGTCTCTCACCCTCTCCCACCTCATGAGCTTTCATATTCAAGCTGTCACTTATATCCTGTGCCCATCTTCAGGCTGGTCAGCCCCTCCCCCTTCTTCCTGGTACCATGCCTTCTGCCATTATTTTTTCTAGTCTGACATGGCATTTGATATAACTGAAATATTTCAGCTTCCAAGATAAGATGCTGTTGAATTGCCAATCTTCATTGATGTTCAGATCTTTTGGAATGTCAGTATTTCTTCTCTTCTTTGTCCATGATATTTTGAGAATCTTTCTATAGCACTTCAGCTCAGAAGCCCATATTTTCTTCCTTAAAGGCTGGGAGATAGTCCATGACTCACATTCGTATGTTGCTACAGGAAAGATGCATGCTGTCAAAACTTTTACTGTGATTTTCTTGCTGGCTCTTAACCATAGAATTGTAATGCTCTTTAAATATTTGTATTGCTGAGGCCATCCTCTTTTTGATTTATGTCAGTCTCCATTGCTATTTATTTTGGAGCCTAGTTTTTCAAAGTTTATGACATTTTAAATTTCTTCATTATTTATTTTTGTTTTCTTTTAATTCAAGAGTATGTTTTGGAAAGACATTAAATTCTCTTCCCTTTACATTGTTTGAAGGAAGGTCTGTGTCATCTGTATAGGGTAGTTCTGGAATAGGGTTGCATCAGTTATCAGTGGATTATAACTCATAAGTCTGGTCATTTTTGACATTTCTCATTGTTTTCTACAAGTTCAGAGTTAATCTTTATTCATTTCCTGTGTACTAACTTCCATTACTAAATGTACTTAATTGCAACTGAACTAGCTTGTGTTTCTAGCTGGGAAAGGGTGCACAATTTCTAAAAAAAAAAAAAAAATTTTTGCTGGTATTGTATACTAAACTTCTTGCCAGAAAAAGAAATACCTGATTCTGCAATATACAGTGGAATCTCAGGATAATAGTGCACATGGATATGGAGTTTTTTAGCATATGAGGTCAGGCTTGCCAATTTGTTTGCCCTAGAATACGAGGTGAAATTCAGGATATCAGCTAGAGAGACGAGAACTCTCTGCGTTACCCGACAGCCGCTTGATACCTTTTAAATAGATTAGGTCACATTAACATTGCCGAAGGATGACTTGAACCAGCCAGCAAGGCACTTGATGATAATGGATTGTTGTAGCATCGTGTTTAAAATATCAATTTTCCACTGCTGGCAAAGACAAAAACAAAACAGGTCCGCACATTTGTCCTCTTTACAGAAACAGAAAAAGCCATTTTGAAACTAATAGGGTCATTTTTGGTGGGCTGTGAAGAACTAAAATTATTCACATTAGTTTTAGTGACAAAAATAGTTTTTCACTATATGAGCTCAGTCATGGAACAGATTAATTTTGTTGCAGTGTACCACCACATTGTTAAACTATCATTGTCTTAATTGTTTGACATCAGGTTCAGCTCCGATGATGTTTCCTGAGGTATAATAATTCTCATTATATCAGTAATGAACACAGAGATTACTTCTGTCAGAGCTCATTTTGGTGCAGAATAATTGCAAATATTTACACTTGTGACCTTTGATATTTCCAAGAGGAGTATAAAAGAAGACGATATAGGAGCTGCAATGAACAACCCAGTGTCATTAAATGGGTGCTAGACAGTTGACTTATTGCTAAGACATGCAGTAGGCTTACTGTTCACATGACCTTTAGATATCATCTGGTCAACAAAATGGAACAGTAAAAACAAAAAGTAATAAAGAACTCTTTTCATGCCAGTGGTGCATCAAGCATATGATGCTGGAAACATTTTTTGATAGGCCGATCAGCCCTCAGTATGTGCTCAGCATCATGCCATCCACCTTTACTTCCCCTGACATTACCTGATACCCATTTTAAGCTGGGTTGACCTCAGAGCCAGACATTTTTTTAAATTAGTTTTTTCAAACCTAAGACTTTTGGACTGGCAGGTGAGTATCTAGCAACAGCTCTCAAGGAAATGCATGAAAATTAGCCCCTATCTCCCTTTATCATGTTAGCATAGGTATGTTGTCATGCAATCATTTCTTATAGCAGACAATTAAATGGGTGAAATCTTGTGAGTAATATGTTCTATACTTTATTTTGTCAGGTTCAAATGCCCATACTGTCCAGTGGAGATGTTAACTACAGACACACGACAAATCTATTTTTGATGCCATAACTGCAGCCGATATATTTAGATAGCACAGTCTCTTGTAGTAAACAGTTGTCTGCTCTCTAACATTGTGTGCCCAGATTAAATCAATAACATTAGTGTAGTGATATTACAATAGAAGAGGCTGAATGTTACAGCAGATAAGGCAGGTGATACTGTAAACAGGATGAGGCAGAAGATACTATCAGCAGGGTTGTATCATATGGAGGGAGGACTGTTGATTTTATGTGATGAAAACTGTTGTATATTTGTTAACATTTTATAGTTGTTTGTTACTGAATTCTGCACACAGAATTCTGGAAATAAGTTTTGCCATGAGATTGTACATTATAACACAACTATTTCATTGATACAGGTAGGCAGATTAGTAGTGTTGCCTAAGAAATGTTTGGGAAAAGATCCATATAAATGAATTTATTTAAAAATCAGTAGCCAGGTATCTTTAGTGACTTAGAACCCTCCAGAAAATTAGTTAAGATATTCCTGCCATCATTCGCAGGATGGACAGAAAATGGAATTATTAAATTACTTACTTTTACAATAGTTTTGTGTTCTGCTTTTTTAGATTCAGCTTACATTTCTTCTTGTTTCTTCCCAGGCCTGTAAAAGTATTTGATACAAACACAACCTGTTTCTATTTCATTCTAATCCTGACAATATCACACCAGTCTACAGCATTCCATGCTATCAGACCTAGTGAGACACCTGTTTGTGGACACCTTCTTTGTCTTGTACCTTTATTCAGTGTAGCTTTATTGTCAGTTTATACCAAAGATGGTGACACCAAAGTGTTTCATACACACAATCAAAGTCTAGATACTACAGTCTGATTGATGGCCTGAATTCCACTTCTCTGCTACAGACACTGTCAGGCTCTGATAGGTCTAACATTGAGCTGCAGACTTACTCTGTTAGTTCCAGGTGACAGTATGGTTGTCTTCCACAATGATGGACACACAGTAACTTCTTTGTCTGTATTCATTCTACCAGCTGAACCAGATAATCTCAGTGTGTTGGATTTGTTGTTGTTGATTATTGATGACTCTCTGCCAGCTTTATGTTGCCAGTGCCAGACTTGGACAAGACAGAGATGAAACAAAGGACAATTACAACTGAAATGAGATTATTAAGGTCACTCAACATATTGAGATGAGAGAAGATAAGAAATTATGAAATGTTAAAGATCCTCAAGTACTGGGCTGCATTTAAACACTGAATTGTTTATTGAAAACTGTTCTCGTGGTTTTTAGATGATGGTACAACTGTGCCATGGGAAGAGATTGGGTCCTCACTACCTAATATTTCCAAAGACAGCAGCAAAGGGTAGACTCTAGCCTACCTTCACCATGGAAGTGGAACACAGTTTTAAAAAAAAAACAACCCATTAATGGCTGAACACAGTTTACAAGATGTTTTGCTGCCAACACGATCACATTTGATATATGACACTGTTTAATGTTAATGAAGGTTCTTTTCTTTCTGAGCACTGTTTTCAGAATTCCTTTGCATGATTTCTTCTTTAGAATGAGAAGCATCACCAGTGCAGAGACAGGATTCACATTTGCTGACCGACTGTTTCAAGTTTCTTTTTTCAAACTTTTTTCTTTTCTTTCTAGGGTTTGCCCTTTCCCCATTCTTGAAATGAAAAACGTCATACATAATTTCCTATTCTGTTGTATGTTTAAATAGAATGTAGATGATATTAAAGAACTATTATTGATTGTGTAACTTAATATTTTAACTTTTATTCAGCTTGATTTATAAAGTAGGAAACAGACAGAACTAATGGGCTAAAACAAGATTTTTATATTGCAGCATCAGAAAGTGGATGTTATGTTTTGAGAATCTGTCATTCGCTGTAAATATTTTTTGGCCCACATTCCTATTCCCGACCCTTCTTATTAAATTCATGTCATTCAACCTAATTACATGAGACTGTATTGTATTTGTATCTTTTCCTTTTTATTCATTACTACAGTATCTGTATTAACAAGTTTCACTTTTTTTTTTACAGTCAGTATTCTAGAAATGAGGGATGAATGACAAAATAGCTTATTCTGTAAATAAGGGAAATGATAGTATTAAAATATATATTATTGAAATGTTAGCTCATTTAGTATCAGTAACTTCCCCTTGTGGGTTCCAGCGTCCCATTCTGTGGAAAAATCAGAATCGGCCCACTCCTCCTTAACCATCCTGACTAATTAGAAGCGATTTCTTCAGAATCGGAGTGAGAGCCAAGGTAAGCACATCAGTAAGGCAGATCTTTAAAAAACGTATGTGCATGCAAAACTCAAGTTCTCGGAAGAGTCAAAGTCCATAATAAATGAAAAACCAGAATTTTCAACTTTAAAAAAAAAGTAAAGATCCCTTTTTACGCCTTAGGCGCATCGGTATATAGGAAGAGTGTCCCATATTTTTACAGACCAATCGGCACTATAAAAGTATAGGCAACTTATTTTTTTTTTTTTAAATATGTATTTGAAGTCACCAGACATCTCGAGAGTCAAGAATGAATATAGGTGGTGGTCAAGCGTTGTATTTATAGCTGTAACAGATGAGCATAAGGCAGGAAATCACTTTCCTTCAAAACTAATGGCTTTAGACGGGATATGAGTGAATGCTAATTGATGATGTGAAGTCAGAGAGAAGGAAGGAAGTTTATAAACAAAAATATTATAGATTGAAGTGATGGAGACTAGGGAAGGGCATTATATGAAGGTGATAGTAAAGATGGATTTGTAATGGTTGCACTTTTTGTGTACATTCGTGGAACTCTTCTTTTTAATGAGGCATTAATGAGGTTTCCTTTGACCAAACTTCATTTTACATACTCATATAATGTGTACACATATACACACTGTTCTTTTGGCACTTTCAGGGACACATATCTGGTTCTAGATGTTTCATTGTTTAAGTTTAGATTCCTAATATGTTTCATTCATAGAAATTAACAGTGCTTAGCCAGCACTGAAATGCAAGCACTGATTGCATTGTTAAATTACAAAGACCCAAAATGAAGTAAACACTATAATTTGTTACTGTTCACTGTACATTGCTTCTATTTGTTTCTCTATTACAGTTTTCATTCAGACACCATTTTGTTTAATTTAAACTTATAAAGGTTTTCTATTAATTATAGTTCAGTCTATTAGTTATCTAGTAATCAGGCAGTCATAGTTCCAACTTCTCAGTAAAATTTAAAAAATTCATAATGTACATTTTCACAACAGGAATTAGTTACCTGTTTAATATGTTTTTTTTTTTAAAAGGATTTTCCCTAGTAATTTCCATGGGTTCAAGAGCCATTTTTTTTAAGCAATCACGGCGTAAAAGGGGTAACATCTATGTGACATTTTTTTTTTAAATAAACAGTAAAACTTGCAGTTTAAATATACAAGTTGCATTTTTGAAAAAAACATTTAAAAACCTACAAAGTACAGATAAACGGTACATGTATATTAGTTTATTCTCCTCTGTCTGCCATTTCTTCTTTGCTTATCTCTGTAATGATGTGTACTGATTTTTTGTTGGTGCATGTTCTGTACTCTATCTTATACATGAAGTCTATCAAGTTGCATTACTCTTGAAACTGTGTGTGGCAGTGACACACTGCCTTCTGTATCAGCTAAAATTGTTGCCATTGCTAGCTAGAATCATTTGTTTAGCAAACTCAGGGTGGAAATCATTAACAATTGTGAATATGTACAGATGTACAGTCAAATGCAATGGGGGAGCTTAGTTTACATGTTTCAGTAGTTTTAATACAGAACTCTCAGAAGATATTTCTAGAAACTCAGTAACAGTTGTGTAGTAAAATAAAGGCTTTCATCAACAGTGGAACTGAAGTTTGAGAAAGAACACAGATAAAGAAAAAACTGCAAGGTTCATTTGTTTACCTTGTCATCAGCTGATTTTTATATTCTTGATACTACATCTATCTATACTTGGATATATTTACTGATTAGACTCTCGCATACTGTCCTAAAGATTCAGCTTTCAGGTCCGCATCAGGGTGGATGTTTTCTTCATAAATGACCTTGGTTACAATGTCAACATTGTCTAAAATGGGTACAAGGAAATATCATGGGAAGTAAAAGCTACTGGGTTGATGTTGACCTCATCACCAATTGAGTGATGATTAGTCTATACTAGTATGCGTCCACCATCATATGCCTAATGCACGACCTAAAGCGGGTCGTTTACTGTTTCTTACATTAATTAGTAGTTGTGTTTATGTACAGTTTGCTTTATATTTAATCATATTATAATCTCATTCATTTTTGTTCGGATGTGTGTGATTATATGTCATCATTCCATCATATATGTGCACAAGTGCTATGATTATTTAATTACAATAAATTATAAACACTAAACTTGGATTTAGTAAAGATTTTTTTTTTTTTTAAATCTTATGTATAACCATAGCTTTGATTTGTTTTTACATCTCACAGTCATGATTCTCATACTTGGCCGGCTCAGATGAATTCAAGATCCTATTTTATGATCAAATGCTATTGTCATACAAGTGCCTATTAATACCTGTTCAGTTAATAACTTTCTGTTTAACATTGTCCAGAGAACATTTGAAGATATGCAGCATAGGGACAGATCAAACAAACCCTGGACTGTTGACAAGGACTTTGCCACAATTATACATTGTGGTAATATCAGAAAGCATTGGAAGACCTGACCTTGTTTTTTTGGCACCTTTCTGTCTTTTCTAGATAATAGTGTTATATTGTACTGTAACAAGACATTGGAATCACAGGGATTAAAAGTTCCGTCTCTTTTATAGCACAAAGCTGTTAGTATTGTGGAGATCCTGTGTTGCTGATGCAGCATGATCCTTCTCCCAGCCTGCCTTATTTAGACCAGTTCTTCCGGAACAAAGTATCCTACAGAAGCTTCCACATGATAAGAGCAATGCTCTGCCTATATGTCAGAGCTTTCCTCCCAGACCATAACATTCAGTTTTCAATGACGTCACCTAGAAGT